TTTGGTTTAACTGATTTAACCGGCAGTGGCGTAAGAGCCAATCGCCTGCTACCACCACGTTATCAGCACCACAACCATGCCGCTATCTTTCTTGGGTTAATTTAGAAGTATAAATCTCAGTGATTCCCCTAGATTGGACTTGAGAATTTAGTTTGCCATAGGACCTCATCCTTTTCCTTTTTCCACTCTTTTATTGTCTATATTTTTTTTTGGTTTAGAGAAAAGAGTGTCATGGGTTCGATCTTCTAAAAACGTAGGCGTAGTGATTCGTGATGAACGTGTTAACCAGGTGAGATTATGATCCTAGATCTTGCTTGCTTTGTTAACCAGTTGAGATATCTATTAGAAGGTACTTTATGTTCCCTTTATATGTCACAACTGCTATATAATCTTCAAGAACTTCACCACAATTGATTTGTTTTCTCATGTCAAGTGGTTGATAAAGTGAAGTGAAGACTTTTTTTGCCCATGAAGGATCTCATTATATAAATGTACGTATTTTACTCCAAAATCTATATGAAACCAAGTGATAATTTTTTTACTCTATCGCTTCTTTGTTTTGTTTTCTTTTTTGTTTTGGGCTATGGCGGCGTGATCAGCAACTAGGCTTTGACTTTCTTTTTTGTGCGTGACGATGGTGATCAGTTGGTTTCCCTTTTTTTGTTAGTTTGTATATGAAATTAGTTTCCATATGATCATGAATTGTATTGACCAACTGAGTTTTCATTATTGCTGCTTGTGTGTTTCTAGAACTAAGGGTGACAACTACTAAATTGTATGGGTTGCTTATTAGAGGAAGCATGCAGCAAGAAAGGATCAAAGTGGAGAAGAAGGCTCACATGGACAAATAGGCTACTTTTGAAACAAATTTTGGATTCAAGTCTCTACTTTTCTAATTTTTTTTTTATTGGGTTCAGATTTTGCTCATTATGGCTACATTTTTTGGTGGGTTTTGCAAACACACTCGCTGGGTCACTTTCACGAACTGTTAGACCATGTGCCCACAAAAGATACCAACAGTTGGATACTCATTTGTCATCTCTCTCTAAATCCCTCTCATGTTGACAATTGTTTTCGTAGGCATTGTCGTTGACACAATTGTTCGGTGATCATTTATGTAGGCAGTACATACTTTTATTGTCCTTGAAGTAGTTCTGCTATGCTTCACATGGTTAATTTTAACAATGTAATTCAGAAAGGGATAAAATTAGTCACATTTGGCACACCGCGGTTTATGCTTAGGCTTGGATTTGCTGTATGGCTTTCTTATGAACTTGGGTTCTGTTTGTTTGCGGGGAAGTCAAGAAAGAAAAAAATTAAATTGATTGCTTGGAACGGGAGAAAATTAGTTACATTATCTCATTGATACCATTTTGAAAAAGTAATCATTTGTTTGTATGGATTTGGTGGTACTATTGAGTTCTATGAATAATGCATGGTTTTTTTTTTTTTTTTTTTTTTTTTTAAAAA